AAAGAATTGAAAATATTAATAATCAATATGTCAATGTTGCTCTATATATATATATATATTGTATATAGCAATATTGAGATGTTGATTATTAATATTTTCATTATTATAAATAATTTAATTCTTTTTTAAATAAAAAAATTATGTAATCAATTACCAAATAAGTTATTAAATTTAATCTAAAATAGCTCTAAAAAGGCTCTATAACAGGATTAAATTAGAAGAATCAAATTGGACTTATTTTTAATATTCATTTTTAAAATAGTACAAATTCAATCATTGATTTCTAATATTATTTTTCTTCTTTTCTTTTATTTTCTTTTATTGGTCCTGCCAATTTCAATTCAGAATAATATTCATTTGTATTAAATTGTACCATTAATGATAATTTTATATCGTGTGCCATTTCAAAAAAAATCGTGGCGGTGCTAACTTAATATTAAATTGGCAGGACCAATTTAAAATAAAAGAAAAGAAGAAAATAATATTAGAAATCAATATGATTGAATTTGTACTATTTTGTACTGCCAAAAACAATTCTATATTATGTGTTATTTCTAAGAAAACAGTGGCGTTGCTAATTTAAGATTTAAGCAAGACCATAAAAAAAACAACACAGGGCAAAAATTAACACAACTGAATTTGTACCATTGAAAATTGAAAGTTAATATAATATTTCACATGTTTTCTCCTTAAATGACCTTATTGGTATATATAATACTTACAATCTATGAGGTATTCCACGTCAAACCGGGCATCTTTGAAACATCATTTTATTTTTTTAATCTGCTAATATTCTACAGATAAAAATATGAGACCATGTTTCGAAAAAAATGTGACATCTTTTTTTGTGTATTGACGCATGTAAGTTGCAGAAATTGATAAAAAATATCATTCATGCATTCAAATTATTATATCGTCGAAATCATTAGTCGTACAAAAAATGTAAGAGATCTATTTTAAAGAAAATTGTTCTACGGATGAGTTATTTTTAATTTATTATTTTCATATAAATAAATCATTTTCCATTTGTTTACAATTTTATTAAAATTTTTTATCATCGATTCACTAATTAAAAAATTTTGTAAAAATATCATCATATTCTTATTTCAATTATGAAGCAACCCTGAAAATTTCAAAATGGAATGGACTTGTATGGTTAAAAAATTCGAGTTTCATTTTGAAATTTTTAGGGTTGCTTCATTCAATTGAAATGATGATATTTTTACAAAATTTTTTAATTAGTGAAATGATGAAAAATATTGATAACAATTAAACAAATGGAAAATGATTTATATGAAAATGATAAATTAAAAATAACCCATCCATAGAATAATTTTCTTTAAAATCGATCTCTTGCATTTTTTTGTACTAATGGTTTCGACGATATAATACTTTGAATGAGCAACGTTTTTTATTAATTTCTGCAACTTACATGCACTCAATACACAAAAGAAGATGTCACATTTTTTTCGAAACATGGTCTCATATTTTTATCTGTAAAATATTAGCAGATTAAAAAAAATAAAATGATGTTTTAAAGATGCCCGTTTTTTAACGTGGAATACCTTATAGATTGTAAGTATTATGTATATGTATATAGTATATTAATAAAGTCATTTAAGGAGAAAATATGTAAAATATTAATTGACTTTCAATGATATATATAAATTAGTATAAATTCAATTGCATTAATTTTTGCCCTTTTTTGATTCTGTTGATTTGATTCTACTAGCTTTGTAGAGCTATCTAAAATTACAATTTGAAGAGAAAATTTTTTTATCTTCGTTTTAATAAAAAATGGAGAAATTAATTTATTATTTCATTTTTTATCACATTTTTTATTTGAAGAATAAAACTGTGTGATTTTAATGAACCGTGTAAGGCAAATTACCACATTTTTTGCGATATTTTCAGTTTATAAAAATTGTAATTCTTGATTTAATTAAATTCCGTGATTAAAAACTCATTAACATAAAACAACTGTTGTTTATCAAAATGCTTATTTCATGTAATTTATTTTTTTAAAGTAAATATCAAAGTATAACGATAAAAATCAGAAATCATTATTTCATAAATTAATTATTTATTTAATAACATTTAGAGTTGAATATATCTCGTGTCATGTTCTGAATTTTTCACTAATTTAAATAT